GATGGAGCTTGGCCGGGGAGGGCTGACGTCTGCGTTCCAGCTGGCAGGAGAGCGACTAGGGAAAACAGAGGAAGGGAAAGCGTATTCACCGGACGGTGAGCTGTCTGGGGCGCTGGACATCCTTCTGCAGCAGTGAACCCTAAAATGTTTGGGGCCACGAGTGAACTCCTGGCTTGCCCCGTTCAGTCACTTGTGGCCGATTTAGGATGCGGGGGCTTCAGAAAAGTCATTTTGCTACTCTATGTACTGGGTTAGAAATAAATCTGAGTGCTGGAGGTCTCTTGGGATCAGGACTGCTACTTACTTTGCTTTTCAGGAGCCCAGCTAGCTGGTTTGGGGCACTCCAGTGTTTAGGGTCTTCTGGCACTCAGCCTCACTGTTTAAAATTCCTCAAAGCCTCTTTACCAGCTATTTGTCCCTTTGAAAACCTGTTGTAAGTGATTTCTTTCTGTATCTATGCTGGACCCACTCTGTTTCGGGTACCACAGTGCAGACTGCCAATAGTCACAGCCTGGAATTTGGACCATGTTGTGCTTTTCGTCACAGGGGTGTTTGCTCATCTGGAAATGCTGGAGGCGCAGGCTCATGAGGCAGCTGTGAAGCGAGAAGAAATGGAACAGCAAGAAGAGAAGCTGGCTAGGCTGAAAGCGAGAGTGCAGGAGCTGAGACTCCAGAGGGATGAGCTGCAAGCTAAAGTGGATCTGCAGCAGAAGGGGGTGAGAATGGGCTTGCTGCCAAGATCTAGCAGAGGGCTCTGGGGTGCTCCTGCTCTCAGAGGGTGGGTTTACTAAGGTTATTGATACAGAGTCAACTACTACTTTTTCATCTTCCCTTTTTAAGTGACGTACAGTCCTGATGTCCTCCGTTTTCAGTACCGTGTAGCTCAGAACTGCTGACTCCACTTACTTGGAGGTCGTGTGGCCACTTCTGAACTCTTCTCTTGAGTTTATTTCTCCCTTCTTCTGTTTTGTTTCTCCTCTCTTCTGCTTGAAACACCATCTCACTTTTCTCAGAGCCAGGTTATTATTTCTCTGTAGCCTAACGATGTTCCCTGCAGGTGACACGTTCACGTCAGCAATTTCTGATCTTGCTTCTTTTCTGGCTTTTGTAGCAACTTGGGAAAGAAGGAGTCATGTCAGATCCAGCGCAGCCCAGTGCTCAGGCTGTTTTAGAGTGGAAGATAAAGAGCGTTAAGGCCATGCTGCAGGTCTTTTACCTCACAGGTAATGTCTCAAGATTTGTGTGTGTTCTGCCAATGGCTGCAATTCTAGGATGCTGAATTTTGGAAAATGAGCCTGATGTGAAGTGTGATTTCCCTCTTAGTGCTGCTGCTGTTGTGCTTGGAGCCTTTAGAGTCTGAAAACGCTGGAAGAACAGTAACCTTGTAATTCCCTGCCTTTCACAGGAGGCATCTGGGATGTTCCAGGAACTATTATATACTGAACTGTATAATTTAAACTAAGGTCTAGATTCTGGAAAATGTATAACTACTTTATGAATGAAATCTTTGGGAATTAGACACTTAAATGTCCAGTGGTCTGGGTCTTCCAGGCAAGCTCATGAGGTTAGCACCCTCTTTTCATCTGCTCCTGAGCTTTTTATTTTAATTTTTATTTGGTTTCCAACAAGAATCACCTTCGTTCTCTGTTCCAGACAGCGTGGGAACATGAGTCCTGCCTTGATGCAAGTGGACTGAGCCCACCTATGAGCACTCCTGCCACTCAATTTGGGGCAGTGCCTTCTTCCACTCAGAGCCAGGGCCATGTTTGGAAGTGGCAGCATAACTCAGTTATTGGGAATTTAAGCTACCGTTAAGCTGCTTGAATTCATTAGAGGTCTCTTATTAAAAAGTTGCTGTGTTTAATGTCCCTAAACTCTTAAAAGTCTTTAATCTTCGGAGGGAGCTCCCTGAGCTAGCATAGTGAGAGGACACAGCCCCTCTTGCGGTACGCGTTGCCCCAGCAAAGCTGCCTAGTGGTGCTGAGTAAACCCTCTCTCCGGACCCAAGGGATCAGTGGGAAGCTGACCAAGCGAGGCATGTGCTTCTGCATCAGCACGGCTTACGAGGGCACCTACTTGGATTCCTACTACGTGGACCTGCTCACCAAGCCAGCAGTGCGGATTCACCGCCACTCCGTCCCCACCTTCATCCCCCTGGAGCAGATTGCCAAGAAGTACTTGCAGATGGACGTCAGGCGCTTCTTCTCTGTTCTGTCTGACCACCTGAACGCTTACGTGGGGAGGAGGTACCAGGCAGACCAGTTACAGGTACCAGTGGCCACAGCAATGCTGTTCACCTGTCCTTTTCCCCTTGATGTACCAAACCTTAAGAGTCTCTGAAGTGCTGGGGGGAATCTCTGCAGTTTCCTCTGTGGAGCGCTCGCAGTTCTGGTTTTTAGAACTTCACAAATTATCGTGTGACTATAATCTCAGGTGCACGTTTCATCGATTGTCACGTACTTGCATGTTCTCTGGTGGCTTATTTAAAACTTAATGCCAAACTTTGGAGGTCCCTAAGCTAAAATAGCTGTGATCCTGTAAAACGCCGCTGGAGGATGTGGCTTAAGAGTGTGACTGAGCACTGGTTTATTTAAGTCTTTCCTAAGTGGGAGTTGTTCGATGTACAGCATATGGGCATGCCAGGCTGGTATGGAGGGTCGGGGCACTGCACTGGGGGAGCTCCCAGCCCTACACTGATGGACTTCCTTCCTAGCATCATGTTTCAGACGTTGTTTTTATCCCTCTAGGAGCACTTTTCAGACCAGATAGAAGGAACCTTGCAGAGGAACTCCTTGTGTAACTTGCTGGTCTTTAATTACAATGTGTCGAGTAAAAGCAAGCCCTTCCTGTTCAATGTGAGGCTGCTTTATGGAGATCTCTGTTGCAGCCTCCCCACTGAAGTCATAATTTCCTGCAAAAGTAAGTGGATGATGCAGGGGCCCGTCCCAGGGTGTGGCGTGGGCAGATGGTCCTGTGGTTCTGCAGACAGATGGGATTTCTTTCTAGTTGAGTTTGGGGCCAGAAAGAGAGCAAGCTGTCGTATATCTGTGGGAGAAAAGATTGTAGGAGGGGTTGCGTGCAATCGGTGCTGGGTCTTGGAGCAGTTGTAACTCATCCCTAGCACAAGAACACAGATCTCTTGTAGTACTGGTTGCAGAGCACGTGGACTGAGGTGCAGCTAGATGGAGCTCTGAACAGAGCAGGGAGGGCTAATAATCTTTTCTCTGCCATCAGTCACAGTCCCAGGCCTGCTTTTGCGAGCTCCTTGGCTTGCAGGTAGGCTGGAGGAGTAGTCATGTACTTTACCGACAGTTCCACCTCTCCTTTCCTTGCAGTAGCTGTCCCTTTATAGGTGAAGTTCTGCCTTTGCTCACAAATTTCAGTGTCTTCTGAGCTAAGAGAGCAATCAAGTGGCTGAGGCTCCCACGTTACCATCCTGACCCTTCAGCAGTGGGTATTTCTTAAGGCATTTGTGCTTTCTGCAGCTGTCAAATCCCACGGGGGGGGCTGCAGGATGCGAAGGGTTAGGAGAGAGAGAGAGAAGGGTTATGAGAAGAAAAACTGTACAGTGAGGGAGAGTGAAAGACTCCCAAGGGACAAGGGAAGAACGGGAAGCAAATAGCTTTATGCTGGTAATGTGGTGTTCCTCACCCCGCTGATCCGTCTGCTTCTGTTTGCCAGTGGACGCTCCCTCATCTCTAGCAGAGACGGCAGCAGCTCACTCGGACCTGTTTCGCCGCGTCGCCCTGCACAAAGCCTTCCGCTCCTTCCGCAACACTGAGGAACACGTGGATGCAGCACCATAAGCCACCCTGGCTCTCCTCAGGAATTCATCTCCCTGAGCTCCCCTGCCCGCAGGAGAGCGATCTCGAGATACAAATGTTTTCCGTGGACTGCAGCACTGCTGCTGGGAACCCCCTGAGGAGCAACTGGCCCAGTGTGAATCTCCAGAATGATGTTTTCTTGAGGCTTTCGGGTGTCTGTCGCTGCAGGTAATTTTTCCTCAGCGCTGTGCTGCTTGTTTGAGGGCTGATCTCTGCGGCTGGTGCCACAGAATTCCATCGCTGCAAGAAATGTCTTGCAACCGGAATGAGAAACTGTATTAAAACTTCAAAGTCTCAGCGCTTTCAGGGCAGTGCCCTGTGGATCACTTATCCAGTGCACCTTGAAAAAAAGAGGGGAGCAAGTGGAATAATCTGTGCCCTGCTTACCTCAGCCAGGAAAGGACTTGATGATGGAAGCTGGAAGGGGTCAGGGGACAGGAGTGAGGTTTAGTTATGGCCAGCAGCAGCAACCCATGCCCTGTGTTAAGCCCCTAGCCATGAACACTGAACTTTACAGAAGATTTCACACCAGCAGTGGCTTTGCACATGCTATTTCCTCCTCTTCAGGTGTGGGGCAGCTTTGCTGGTGTCCTGTGATTGTGCTTCAAGTCTGGATCAGATCTTTAAAAACTTGCTGTTTTGTATCAGTACTTTAACAACTTGCTTATTAAAAGTTCTACATTACTGAAATGGTGGTGTTTAAAAATGTTGTCTCTTGATTTCCTTTAACTTTATAAGGTGTTTTAGTAGAATAGAATAGGGTTTAAATGACAATCAGAATCATGGAATGGTTTGGGTTGGAAGGGACCTTCAAGATTATCCGGTTCCAACTCCACTGCCATGGGCAGGGACACCTTCCACTACACCAGGTTGCCCAAAGCCCCATCCAACCTGGCCTTGAACCCCTCCAGGGATGGGGCAGCCACATCTTCTCTGGGCAACCTGTGCCAGTGCCTCACCACCCCCAGAGGTGGTGAGGAAATTTCTTCCCCCAGTGAAATTTCTTCCTTAGATCTCATTGCAATCTCCCCTCTTTCAGTTCAAAGCCATTGTCCCTTGTCCTGTCACTACACGCCCTTGTCCAAAGCCCCTCTCCAGCTTTCTTGTAGCCCCTTTACATACTGGAAGACTGCTGGAAGGTCTCCCTGGAGCGTTTTCTTCTCCAGGCTGAACAACCCCAATTATCTCAGCCTGTCTCCATAGCAGAGGTACTCCAGCCCTTGGATCATCTTCATGGCCTTCTCTGGACCTGCTCCAACAGTTCCGTGTCCTGATGTTGGGGGCCCCAGAGCTGAACACAGCACTGCAGGGGGGCAGAATTCCCTCCCTCGACCTGATGCCCACGCTGCTTTGGATGCAGCCCAGGACACGGTTGGCTTTCTGGGCTGCCAGCACACATTGCCAGCTCATGGTGAGCTTCTCATCAACCAACAGCACCAAGTCCTTCTCAGGGCTGCTCTCAATCCATTCTTGTGTTTGGGATTGCCCCAGCCCACATGCAGGACCTTGCACTTGGCCTTGTTGAACTTCATGAGGTTCTCACAGGCCCACCTCTCGAGCCTGTCCAGGTCCCTCTGGATGGCATCCCTTCCCTCCAGCATGTCTGCCACATCACACAGTTGATGTCATCAGCAAACTTGCTGAGGGTGCACTTGATCCCACTGTCCATGTCACTGACAAAGACGTTAAACACCACTGGCCCCAACACTGAACCCTGAGGAACACCACTCATCACCTCATACAGGTGGTCAAACCCTTATTAACATATCCACCACCCCTAGAATAAAGCAGGCGCAAGAATCAGGCTTTGAAATTCAACTGCTTCTATTCAAGAAACTTGCGGCGTCATTACACTCTGCGGGCGCGTCCCTTCTTCCCGGCCCCGGCACCATCGCATCCAACCCAGCAGTCCCCTCCTCGGCCGCTCCCTGCTCCTCTCTTCCATCACGCGACAGCAAAGTGACAGCAGCCGACCGCAGCGTGCACGGGGCACCGTTAAAAATATAAATGTCAATCTGTACTCTTATATATTTATATATCTGAAATACACAATATTGGTTCCTTTTTCTTCTTCCCCGAGTCAAAGGCGGCACAGCGCTCTCCGTCTCCCCGATCTCCTACCTACGCTGCTTTGTCACCAGGATGAACTTGATACGAACCAAGAGCAAACTCCGGACACTCCCAGTTTGTAGCTACTGCTCCCGGCACGCAGGAGAGACGTGGTGTCTTCCCGTCTGGCCCTGAGTTTGGATCTCCTCGTGCCCAGCATGCGGCAGCCGGGGCCCACGATGCTACTTTAATGTCATGCTGTCCCTCGGCGTGGCTGATGGTGCGGTCACCTACTCGGTGAAGCCTGGGACGCCCAGGGAAAGGCGACACGTGCCCCCAGCCCCGTGCCCGCCGGGGACCACGAGCTTGCGTGCACTTGCGTGCGAGCGTGAACGGCTGGAGGAGCTCACCGGGACCGCCTTGCATCTCCCTCCTGCTCAGCCGCAGGCGCGATGGAGCAAACCTCCACCAGAAACCTCCGGCGGGGGATCAGAAATGGTCGTGCGAAGAGGTTAGGTTCTCAAGTTTGGTTTCGGATCCAGGCCACGGTGGGATGGACGACCCCAGCGGCAGTTGCCGGGCCTCCCCACCCGAGTGGCACCAGGAGGAGGTGGCTGTGGTGGTGGGCACATGCCGGACCCTCACGAGCTGTCCACCACCTGATGGGGCAGAGTGACGGAGGAGCCATTGATGAAGGAGCCCTGCTTCTCCCGGCCCTTGAGGAAGAAGGTGAGCAGCTCTCCTTTGCCCTTGACATAGATGGCTCCCCGGCGCACGAAGCGGAAGCCGTACAAAAAATCTCCTCCACCACCTGTGGAGACAAGCGGAGGGTGCGGGGGTCCTTGCCTGGCACATGACATGGGGACCAGTGACACCCCACAAGTACTGCTCGGACAACAGGTCTACCCAACAGCTGGGCTTACCCCATCTTGGGGTGCCCTTCTTTGAGCATCACCTTGCCCCATTCCCAGCTCAGAGGAGCCCCTCAGCCAGCCCCAACCCTCTCGTGTTCTCCTGGCAGCACTGTCCCCCTCCCACCCAAAGCCTGAGGCGTTTTGAAGCCTGCAGCCCCGCCACAGGTTGCTGATTTGTCCCCCCTCGTCGCCCCACCTGTATGTTCCCCATCACGCCAGTGGACTCCATCCTGCTAGCCACGTTCACTGTGTTGCCCCAGATGTCGTAGTGCGGCTTGCGGGCACCAATGACGCCCGCCAGCACGGCCCCCTTGTTCATGCCTGTGCAAGACAGGGAGTGGACGTCACCTCCTGGTACCACACATGGGACATCCCGGTTTGCAGGAGAGTCTGTGCCAGGGGATGGGTCGGGGCAATGAGATCCTCCCCCAGCCCCACTGCCTTCAGCTGCTGAACTACAGCTGCTGCCCAGTGTCCCACCGCTCACAGAGAAGGAGGGACAAGGGATGCCAGGGCAGATCCTGCCCCACACTTTTGGACTTGCCTATGCGGAGCATGAAGTTGTTGAAGGATTGGTAGTTGATGTTCATCAGTGTCACCTTCATGGCTAAGGCAAAGTCAGCCAGGTCAGCCAAGTGCTGCCAGCGCTCCTTATCTGAGAGGGTCTCCTTCTGCAAGGGCGGCAGGGGTCAAGCCTGCCCACCCCTTGCCCACTGTCCCCCCCACCAGGGTGACCCCTCACCTTGGTGCTGTAGCCGTTGGCGTTGGCATCAGGAGTCACTCCAGAAGCGGCCATGTAGGTGCTGCCGATGGTTTTGATTTTGGTGATGCACCGGAATTGGGGTTCGTCCAGGAGCTGATCCATGGAGACAAGACCCTCAGGCACCCTGGGGCCACAGCGGGTCCTTCTGCCCCAAGATGGGGCAGGAAGGGAAGGTCCAGCCAAGCCCCAAGCAATCCCCATGGCCAGCTCCATCCCGACTCACCGCGTCGAAGTCGGAGATGATCTCGTTGAGGAACCGCAGGCACTCGATGCCCCCATTGTTGATGCTCTCCTCCGTGTAGAAGTCGGCAAAGTTGGGGAGGGAGGCGAACATGACACCGATCTCATCATAGGACTGGCTGTACAGCTCCTGGGGATGGGATGGGACAGTGGCAATGAGCCAGGGACGCACCCACTCATGACACCAGCCCCTCTGGCAAACTCAAGCCCTCTTGCGAAGCCATCTTCCCTTGGCACGTGTGAAAAAATGAGGGTGCTCTGCAGCCTTGCCTTGCATGGCCAAAACATCATCTTTATCCAACCAAAGATGCTCAGCCAGAGCCTTCAGCAAAGCCTCTGGGTCCAGAGGGCCTCCCTCAAAAAAAAATTGGGGGCAAATCCCCACCTCCAGGGTGCCTCTCACCTCGTCTCGCTTCTTGGAGCCCAGGAAGTGCCGGGCCACATGCTCGGGCAGCATGTTGGTGACGAGGGCCTCGTTCCAGCGCCGCATCTCGTAGACCCGTTCCTTCTGGTCGTGGACATCGATCTTCCAGAGGAAAAGGGTCCTGGCCAGTTTCTCTACCTGTAGATGGGAGGAGATGGCTGCACCCTCAGTTCCCACCCACCAGTGGGTCCCCTCCAGTGTTGGGAGTATCATGGCTGCTGTGAGGCCGGGCTTGGGGACAGCCTGGAGAGAGGCTCTGGGACGTGGTGAAGCCCTAACTGGGGACATGAGATCTGCTCTGACGTGCAAATGGGACCCTCAAGAGGTATGCATGGGCCTTAGGGCCACCACGTTGCTGCCCATCCCTGACTATGGGGGTGAGATGGAGGTGCTCTCTGCACTGATGTGGTCCTGGAGAGAAAGGGCTTCCTTGGAGAAGAGCTGGAGATGTTCACAGTTGAGGACAAATCCTGCTGCCTTGGGGCTTGTAAGAAATAAGAGCAGGGGTGAGTCACTCACATGGCGAGAGAAGTAGTAGAAGCTGAGCATCACGATGAAGATCATCGCCGTCATGGAGTACTTAGACGGGACC